TCTATGACTTTTTCCTCCCTCAGTCCTTGTGTATTGCTCCCATGATCTTTAGTGGCAGTTACAGGCTTCTCTGAGGAGAGTCAATCGATTTGAATGACTGGAGGTTGAAGCCTTCAAGGGTACCATGCTGTATGAAATGGTGAGGTCCTAGGGGTGGCCATGACACCCCCTGGTGGCTTCGAGACTGTGCCTCACTCTGCCCCTAGGGCGCCCTGTCTCGCTTGCCACACCTTGATGGTATTTATAATACATAGGAAGGGTGCCCACAGGCCTTAGTCATGCTTAGCCTCTGTAGTTGGCTGTGCCCAACAGGGCATCCAAAACCTTAAGGGCTAATTGCATGGCTTGAAATCCTCCCCTTTACCATGCCCTATGCCTCGTGGGTTTTACAGGTATGTTGCCCCTCTGTTGTGGCTTTGGCCTCCTTGGTCTCTGCCCCTTTAGTCTATCTAGGCCTTCTAACCTAGGCTCATTGAATTGGACCTGGCTTTGAGGCATTAGCTTCATTTGTCCATTCCAGTCACTGGCACCCTGGCTCCTGTATGCCAGGCCCCTAGCTTCTCTGTGGCTACACCCTCTTGGTTGCTTGGCCCCTGGGCCCTGGGTGCTTGAACCTGCCCCCGACAGGGCTCAAGGCAGTTGAGTGCCCCCTGGGCACTAAAGAGGCCTCCACCTCCCCTTACAGTCCCATCCCAGTCCACCTGCAGAAACAGTAATGTAACATAAGGCTCTGGGCTATAACAAACAAAACAATAAGAGCAGCCCTTGGCCCCTTTAAAAGGGCCAACCTCCTTTCATTCTTGGGCCTGCATACATCCCAGCCTGGTTTCCTGTGAGCTCCTGGGGCCTAAGTCTCCCTGTAAGCAGCAAAGCAGTGTGACTAGTGCCCTTGGGATCTTCTCCTGGGCAGGAGCTCCTAACCTGGTAGCTAGCAGGGCTACCTCAAGCCCCGGGTTTATATGCAATCAGGGTCCTGTCTACATCTGGTCAGGTGACTACCTGAGCTGGTGGCTAATTCCTTTATTATCCCTGTTGGCTCGGTAACTAGCAGCTGCTGCCCCCTGCCTCCCTTGCAAAGCTCCCTGGCAGGGCTGCTTCTCCTCTTAAAGTAACAGAGAGCCCTGAAATGTTCTCTGCTACAGCTGATAGAGAACACCATAGTCAAATAGGGGGGGAAATAGTTACCCTATATTAACTGAAAGGTGATTTTATTGCATTGACATAACCTGTAGCATTAAAAAAAATACATCAAAGCAGGAAAAAAGATAAAAACCTGAGTCAGGTCTTGTGTATTAGAGTCAGCAGGAAAATGTCACAGCACAAGGGGGGGAGAATCGACTATCATGGGTGGAAATATAGCATCCACGACAGGTGTCTTAACATGATTATAAAACTTGCTTTTGGTTAGCAAAGGATGAAAGGGGTAGAATGAGGCTGATTTATCTCAAAACACCTTGAAAGACTGACGGGTTACCTGAAGGCAGCAAAGACCAGGAGAGCTGTGATGAGAGAAGTCAGCGAGGTCGCATAGCCGGCAGTATAGACGTGCCAAACTGCAGAATAATATGATTTCTGTGAGAAGAGAACATAGACAGGTATAGATGGAAATGCAGCATTCAGCCCCATTTCACTGAGGCAGGATTTTCCTTGGAAAAAATGTACAAGCAATAAAATATTTTCTTTCAACTTTGACAATGAAGATCACCCAAGCCACCTCAGCTGTTAGATAATATACTTCATTTTATCTCCTCAAAATGCCTTCCTGCAAATGGGGTACTAGACTTTGGGTTTAGCTCAGGAGATGTAGGTTCAAGACCTGGTTGTACCAGTCACCTACTGGGTTATCTCAGGGAACTCACTTTGCTTCTCTGAGATTCAATTTCTAACCTGTAGAAGGCTGATATTTAGGCCCGAGTGAAAAATACTCTCTCCCAAATGGTTTTCCAAAGAAAATTGGGTTTTCAACTAATCATTTTTTTTTTTATGCAAAGTGTCTGCTTTCCTTGGAAAATTTGGAGCTTCTGTCAAGAAACCCAAACCAAACTGAACCAAACCAAACCAAAGCAAAAACACTTTTTGGGGTAGAGGAGGATGACACCTTCCTATTTTTCAAACTGTTTTAATAGTGATCCTTACCTGTGTTTATGAAGTGTTGTGGATGTGTGTGGATGCTCTATACAGACCCAATGTATGCTTGATGAAGATGCCAAACAACTGCCTGTGAACCATGAATCATGTGCTATAAGAGCTTAGTACTGTGATTGATATTTTAATCTCAGTTTCTCTTTGAAAATATAAAACCTGTGCTGCAAGTTTTTACAATAACAAAACACAGATGAATTGCACATGGGCTCTATATGAAACAGGACATTTTGTGGGTATTTGGATGAAGGTGCTTAGTTATAGCTTTTCCCTAATCTGTATAATAAGGGCCATGTCCTCCAAGGGGAAGAATTCTTCCAAATTCTGCTAAAGCTGATGGGAGCTATGGTCATAAAACATGTCACAGATCTTCAGCACCTTACAATAAGGCCCAGATCTTTTAGGCAAAGTGCAAAGACTTCAAACAGAAGAGACTCAAAGCACTTCCCACCCCCAAAAAGACCTATAGGTCAGTACGTACAGATCCTCTGAGACCCACAAGTATTGATTCAGACCCAGGCAGGACAGAGAACTGAACCCACATCTCTGACTCCTTGGAAGCATTGTAACCACTTAGCTGTTGGATAAAATAGCGGGGCAACACTGTCAACTGCTACTCCCATGTTTCATGAAAAGTCATGAAATCAAAGTCGATTTCCAAGAGGACTGAGCTCATCAGGTGACGCGGAAGGATGAATACGTAGTTTGCAGGGTCTTGGCAGGGTGCAGATTTGAGATGCTCATGACTCAAACACCTCTGGGAGTGCCTAGAAGCAGACAGTTAGGTGCCAGTACTGACCTGATCTTCAGGCGCTTTACTAGCACCTTCATCAAATCCACAAGCGACAGAGTACGGTGGAAATGGTTCTGACCAATAGGCTTCTTGCGTACAATTTCTCTGCAGGAAACCTGCAACAGTAAAACATACCAGGGAATGATGCATTTCCTTTAATACTGAGAAGAAACCAGTTGTTCCCATTGCCAAATTTTGAGACTGATTTTATGTCCTCACTTAGATGTTTATGTTGATTTTTCACACTTACCATATCAGAGTGAATGATATGGATGTTATGCAACCCCCTCAATTCGGTCTTTATAGTTCAAATTAAATTGAAACAAAATGTATTCAAATCCAGATTTAATCCTGAATGTTACAGCATATCTATGTTGTGAAATGCTTTTACCTTCTGTTTCTCAAACTGGAGTAGGTGTACCCCCGGGGATAGGTAGGACTTTTCCCAGGGGTATGCACCTGAATTGTAATAATGGCAACAGAGTTTCTTATGTCACTAACAGATGTTCATTTAAAGGTGCCATGGGATCTGATCCCTAATCCCAACAATCACATGCATGGCAGAATGTGTGATTTTGGGATCTGCAATTTTGGGATCAGGGATCAGCTCCAAATCATACCCCAGTTGCCATGATCCCAGGCTCCCCCTGCACTAGCAAGCTGAAAGCCAGGTGCCCAATAATCAGCTCACTGTCATCTGGATCTGAAACCATAGTGGGACTTGAACCGGCCACAGTGGGCTCCTAACCATTCACACATTCAGTTTACATGTTTTTTTGTGTAATATTTCTGTGGCTGGTTTCCCATTTTGTGACACCATTTATTTCCTGAACATGTGGCCAGGTGACTATTTAAGGCATGATGAAAGTACTAATAGTGCCTTAAGTGTTTTGTCTGCCAGAGACCTTATTGGTCAATGCACAGTTATTACTGGCATTCCCATGTGTCAACACTGAACATGCAGAAACACATCCAGTGTAGGGGGTACAAGCAGCAATATTTTGCAGGTCAAGGAGTGCATGGCCAACAACATTTGAAAACTAGCACTTCAGAGAAAATCTCCAAAGTGTGCCCGGTGGTCATCTATACCATGAGAGAGTATGCCCTGTTCTAACACCCTGATGCATGAAGTATAATAACCTTTGGTATCATAGATATTATAATCTGGCTTTAAAATAGGAAGGAATATGAAGAATAAGGGGGAAAACAATTCTTACCATGTATATTGGTGATTTCTTCAAAAAAACCTGGGCAGGCCACTTTCACCACCTCCCCAAAAGTAGCTTTGGGCCAGCAACTTAAACCGTCCCAGTCTCCTGGACATCCTGCCAAGACACCACATCCATAGTCAAAAGGCACGTGCAGGATGTTTTGTACCCAAAAGCTTGCGAAGATGAATTTCTCCAAGTATTTTAGTTGGTCTGACAAAAAATATCAGATTTATTCAAAGAACCTTGTCTGCCCATGCAGGATGTGGCATTTCACAATGCTCTGACCTGGTTTCCAAGAAGCCTTTCCATGTCTTTCTCATGAGCTCTGCAATTCTGTCTTAGCCTAGATTCTCAGTGGTATGGTCTCCTGCTATCTCCATCGCAGCTGTGCAAAGGCAAGGTGCTTTCCTGCTTTACTGCCATGTGCACAGTCTTATATATATTCTAGTGAAATTCCCATCAAGAATAATGAGGGGGAGAGGGGGCGGGGACGGAGCACCACCACCACCTCCCCAGAATGGGCAGGGGGGAAGCTTGCTGTCACCCACCACCCCATGCTGCCGCCGCTCTGCATCCAGCCCCGTGCCACTCCCACCCTCCGCTGCCCTGCATCTGGCTCCACACTACCCCCCACCACTTCACATCTGGCCTCGTACCACCCACCCCCCCCCCCCCC